CGTCTCCTTGGCGTCTCCTTGGCGTCTCCTTGGCGCCTCCTTGCTGTGGGGGGACGGTCACAGTCCCACGCCCCGCAGCCGCGTAAGCTGAGGACAGGCAGGCGCGCACACAGAATGCCTGCAGTTCTCTTCCGCAAAGGGATGTGCTCGCTGCCGTGCTCACGAGGGAAGACTGCCTCCTGTGAAAGGAGCCCCGCAGCCACCGGCGGAGGCCTCCAAACGTCCTATTTTTCAACCAAATTAAAATCTCTCCTGCAAAGGACAGTCCCAAGTGACAGGACAGCTGACACAAAGGGCCCCTGAAGGAAAGGAGACTTCTTGCTGGCCACTGGACTGACACAGAGCCTAGATTCACGGGGAAATTCTAGCTTACACAGAGCAGTTGCTGAGGACGAAGGATCTTCCTGACTCAGGGACAATGGGACAGCAATGTAAGGACAAATATTTGCCAAGCTAATAAGAAATGTAAACCTAGAGGACAGATTTAGAGCCCCTTCCCCAAGCTCAACATTGCAGACACCTGCAGCTAAGCAGGGTCTCCACACAGCTGTTAAAGCTCTACTCATCAGAGGGAGGTACAGAAACGCAGAGTCCCCAACTGGATGCAGGAATCAAAGGCGCAAGCAGCCCATGGGTTGTTGCTGTGCCCCAAAAGATACTTCTGGATCGAGTGTGGCACTGTGGTGACAGTGGGCTAGCTCTTCAGCACCGCTCTGTGTGGCAGTCACAGGGCTCTGATTTGTCTTTCCATAAGGCAATCTGAGACAGGACCGATCCATTAAGACAGATTACCTCTGTGGCCCTCAGAAAGCTTACGGCAGAAAGATTACTGATAATCAGGGAAAGGGAGACTTTACACAACTAATAGGAATATCAAAAGGGAACATCACACCCCAGCCTTGATGTCCCGGCACTGAGGATGGTAAGGCAGAAGGACAGCAAGTGGGAAGTCAGGCGGGGCTACGTGCCGGAGCCCCATGAGTTCAACAAGTGTCTGGACTGTAGGACAAGACCCCGCTTAAAAAAGGAGGAAGAGGAAGAGATTTTCTTTTTAATTCTTTGTCATCTATTTTACTTTAACAAGCCAAAAGAGTTTCTACAAATACTTGTTCCAATAGGTTATGGGAATTTAGAATCAATCTCTGAGGATTAAAATTCAGGGATTAGGAATTATTTCTTTTATATTAAGTCCAGCATCAGATTAATAAAATCAGAAAATTCTTCACTTACAAGTTTTCCAGATTTTGAAAATAAGTGAAAAGATGTAGAGAGAAAGTGGATTTGGCCCCATACATAGAACCTCTCATTTGTTAAAATACTGTATATAAAATAAAATTTTTGTAAATCAGAAATGAGCATCATAAGATAAAATAAGCATTTGACATTAATCCATTTTCTAAGAAACCACATCTCAGCCCACTGGTGCCTACAGCAGAATACCGGAGACTAGGTAATTCACAGAGAAAATTAATTTATTCTCTCACAGAGCTGGAGGCTGAGAAGCCTGAGATCAGAGCTCAGGAGGATCAAAGTTGGAGAGGCTGTGGTAAAACGGAACCCTTCTCCACTGCTGGTGGGCATGTAGACTGGTGCAACCGTTATGGAAATCAGTGTGGAGACTCCTTAAAAAACTAGGACTGGAAATCTCATTCAAGCCAGCTATCCCCCTACTAGGAATTTTTCCAGAGGAACTGAAAGCGTCACATCATAGTGATATATGTGTGCCTATTTTTATAGCAGCACAATTTGTGATAGCCAAATCTTGGAAACAACCAAAATGCCTATCACCTGAGGAATGGATGAAAAAGATGTGGTATTTTTATACAATGGAGTATTACTCAGCACAGTTCTTATAAAGAATGATAAACTCGAAGCCTTTATACTGAAGTGGATGCCACTTGAAGATACACTCATAAGTGAAATAAACCAGACCCACATGTGTAAATATCGTATAGTCTCCCTAATGTAAGAACTCAAAAGAAGAAATAAAAATAGAAAGTTAGTAGTCAGACTTCTTGCTGCTTTATTTTTGAAGCTGTTCATGTCACACCAGCCTTGCCCCCGGGGCAAACTGAGCCAGCCACCAAGACCGGTTGTAGTGGTGCCAACTTATAATCCCAGCGCTGGGGAGGCTGAGGCAGGAGGATCCCTAGGAGTCTGAGCTGTGTGGTGAGACCCTGCAACAAATACAAGGAAGGAAGAAAAAAAGGAAGGAAGGAAGGAAGGAAGGAAGGAAGGAAGGAAGGAAGGAAGGAAGGAAGGAAGGAAGAAAAGAAAAGAAAAGATATCCTGGACTTCTTGGAATTTTGCATAGGAAAATTTTAGAGCCAGAAAGTAGCTCAGCAGTTTCAGTGCCTATCTGCGAGCACAAGGTCCTGAATTCAATCTCTGCTATTAATTTTTAAAAAGTCCAGATTTAATAGCAAATGCTTCAAAATACCAGTTTCTACTAATAAGTAAAAGGAATAGAAGCATAAAAAATGAGAAAATGTTGAAAAAGAGTTGTCTCCTGTGGAAAACCCTTATTATAATAAATACTACAAATCACTCCCATTCACAACAACTTGCCTCTTGATAAATTGAATCAAATTGGATGATTTATTTAGTATATTTATTACTATTTTGGATCAATTAACAGATGGTGCCTTATTTTATTTACACTTCCCAGTGTGGGATGAATTGCAAGGTTATCACTACATCACTTGGGGTGGTTGGGAAGGTGAAAGGAAAACTTCCAGTGCAAGTTTTCCCAACGTGATGTATTTTCCCCTGAAACATTTTAAGTGAAGAACATTTATTTTGATAACTCCATTAGATGGGGTTCACCATACAGATTTTTATGCTGATATGAAAAGACAAATAAGTACTGAGTGGCCAGAGGCTGTGCTTTGCCTTGTGCAAATGTCCGTGTCCCTAAAGAGAAGCTTTTCCCTTTCAGAAAAGACACGAGCAATTAGGAAGAATTCAGGACAAGAGCTTCTGGCGCTAAGCAGGAGAACATAACGTTGCATTTGATAGTCTGTGCCTAGAAACTCCCCTTTCCTAGATAGTTGGTGCCTTGCTCTGGAACCCTCCTTTCCCAGCTCTAATTTTCTACTTGTTTACAGAGCTAGGGAGAGGAGAGAGAAATCAGCCCCAGGTTTGCTTATCATATGACCTGCAGGAACAGACAGGAAGATTTCTTTTGCTCATTGAACTTCAATGTAGCTGGGGCCTTCCCAACTCCTGAGAGGCATGCAAATTTGTTCAGATGCTGTGGTTTACACCACTGAGAATTGTGAAACTCAAAGCACTTCCCCACGGCCTCCAGGGTTTGTAAGTCAACAGCTGTTCTGATTCTGATTTTCTGCATTTTGCAGCTCTTCTTTCATCTTACACTCCAAACATGGGACACCACTTCCTTCTCTGTTTCTATAACTTAACATATAGAATGGCCTAATTCAGGTAATGAGTGCATGAGATTCATTATTATACAATGCACATTTACTTACATTTGACGTTTTTCCTAATTTTAATGAAACATGTGACTTGCTCATATGATGCCAAGTATGTATATGAAGGAAATTATATGAAAATGTTGGGGAGCTGGGGAAGGTAGGGAGCAGGTTACCAAAACACATCTGAACTGTGCCTGTCAGAAGTCCCATTCTTAGAAAGTCCTTCAGCCCCACCTCCGCCAGTAGCTAGTGGCTGCTTGGTGGCACTGGAGTTTCTCAATTTTTATTCATCTAATTCTGATTTGTCTCAACCCACCCTTTTGACCCTGGGGCTTTAGAGTACTCGTCCTCTGTTACGAAGAGTAGTTGTCCCATCAACCATTCTCAGAATGCTTAGCTGGGAAATCAGCTTTCACTTTAATAGGATCTATTTTTCTCAGGGACACTTGTGGTACCTCAGGCAAAAATTTATTCTGCTATACTTTTAGTATGTCCTTCTTAATATTTTGTTACTGTAAGACGTACAGAACAGACATTTCCAGATCATGCCTTTGAGAATCACACTACCAATTAAATTTTTGCTTAGGATCATCTTTCTTAATAACCCAAAGCTCTTGTTTTTTTAAATAAAATTTGAGAACATCCTTGACATTATATTAGACTATTTTCTTCATGCATAAAGACAGCTGTCATTGTGACTGCCACTCCAGAAATGTCCAGATTCTCAAAGGACTCCCTGGCCTCCTCGCTGTCAGTAACTGAGCTGACATGTCTTGATAACCCTTGAATTTTCTTATGCTTCTCCTCCTCTTTCTTTCTTCTAAGTCAGGATTTTAAACTGCACCAAGATTCCCTAAAGCACTGAAGACTAACCATTAATTCTGTGTAACTTTTCGCTGGGTGTGTTTACTCTGACATAGTGCTGCAGCTACGAAAACTTAACTGTAAAAATTACATTTAATCTCAAACTCCTTGTGTGACCATTCACTGATTTTTTGCCACCATTACCTTCAGGCCTAACTCTCAGTTGATCTGCAAATTTTCTTCAGCTCTGGATTTCATAGCAATATTCGCTATGCATTACTGGCTGCATTTTTCTTTGTCATAAAATTGTAATTTATTGAAACATAATAAAGGTGTCCTCTAAAACAGTTACTCCCCTGCCAATCCTCCCCAATTTCCATACCCTCCCATTTCCATAAATTTGATTTCTAGTTACTTCCTGGAGATAATCAAATTCTAATTCATTACCCTGCCACTGTCAACATCGGAACCATAAATCCCTGTGTAGTGGTCGTGTTTAAGCCTAAGGATGCTGAGTCCTCCAGGAGCGTTCCTGGCTCCCACATCCAAGTGCTCACCGTATGCGCAGCCATGACGCCAAAGGCGCTTCCCGCTGCGGAGCACAGCGCGCTGCACTTCCCTGCTGATCTCTGATACTGCTGCTCAGTGTTATGAGGGCAAGATTACGTTTGCGGGGCTGGTGAGATGGCTCAGAGGTCTAAAGCACCTACTTAGAACAAGCTTAGCAAAGCACAGGGACCGCGGTTCAATCCCCCAGCACCACAAGCCAGCCAGGCCCGCCCCCTGGTGGGCTGAGCTGGCCACACACACACACACATAAATAAAATTTAAAAAAAAAAAAAAAAGATCACGTTTGCTACTGGCTCTAGCACACGGCCCCGTGCCTCGCCCACGTGAGATGCCCGACGCGCATTTCGTTACACTCCGAACCACTTGCACTGAGGCCTCAGAGCGCGTCTCAAAAGGAATTTCGGGAGCTGTAATTACACAGCCTGGTATAAGTCACTTGCCTCTAACACCTCCGAAGTAAATTTAAATGCATGGAAGATGAAGAGAGGCATGTTATTGAAACACAGAAGGGAGAACCAAGTACAGACAAATCTTAATATATGAAAGTATTGCTATTCTAAGGTTTATTTTCTTGTTTGTGAGGTAGTTCAAAGCTCAAAACACATTTTCCACAAGGAAAAGTATATATACATTTTTATCTTGCTTCCTTACTCTTTTATGATGCAGCTGAAATGTTGCTTTGTTGCCAGGGAACAATGATAATGACAGAGGAGCAGTTTTCCCTTGTGATGCTTCCATGGACCAGGCCCTGGCCTACGTGTTTTGCACGCACCTTCTCATCTTGTTCTCTGAGCAAAACCATGAAGTCGGTGGTGTTCTTTCCAGTGTATAGAAAGGAAATCCAGGTTGACGAGGGCTAGTAGTTTGCCCAAGTGTCCCCAGGCAGGATTGTGTAGGAGACTAGTTTAGACTTACTTTACTTCTTTTCGTAGGAAATTATTTTGAATTCAAATTCGTATGACTACGAAACCACCGCTATTTCCATTATTCAAAGCAATCATATTACAATACTAATGATTACGCAAATGCATAAAAACAGTAAAATGAATGAAATGCACTTAGCATGGCCTAATTGCTCTTATTTATCTATTATAACCTATTGGATTTATATTGGGCTATTACTGGAGAGGCAAAGCAGAGGAGTAACAGTGAAAGAACTCTCAAGCGCTCGCGAAAACGCTAAGCTGCTAATGAGGTTGCCACCTTCGTAGTCACACGGTGCGTACAAATGGCCTTAGTTTTCTCCTGTGTCAACTCAGGATAACACTGTATCCTTATTTGCAATTTTCTCCTGCATATGTGTCCTCACACGTGTCTGTCCTATCAGAGTACCACAGTCAGAAGGCAAGAAGTCTTAACTTTACCATTCATGGTGTCCACGTACCAGCTTACCAAAAAGCAAACCACTACCAGAATAAAAATAAAACTTCTGAACCCTTTCAAATAGTACAGATTATTTATCTGCTGAAGAAATTTTCGGTTGACTCATCAATAATTTGAAGAGAACTTCCAAACCTCCCTCGGGATGCTGCTGATTCCTTTCAATGACGCAGCCTGAGTGATCATCGCCCGTTTCCTCACTCCCTCCTTCGCAAGCCTCGCTTCTCGCTGTCCCCTCCTGCTACCCCGCATTCCATGGTTTCTTACCAGTTAGGTACATTTTCCAATCTCCTCTTGTCTTTCCAGAATTCTTCTCTAATTGGTAAACTATAATCATCCTTATATATTTAACTCGGGTACCATCTTCTCTGGAAAATATCCCTACTGTCTCACAGAATCATGGCCTGATGCGCACTCACACTGCGGGACCTCCTGCGTGCAGCCCTTCCTTGCTTTGCTTCCATACATAAGCAGTAAGCTCTTTGTCCTTGACTCGGAGTGTGACACATGCTGTACAGTGTAGTCAGTAAACACTTGCAATTCTCAAGAGGCTCCCAGAAATTTACACTTCTGTTATGGTCACAGGTCTTCTACAGGCAAGAAGGTCGCAGTGACAGCCAAGTTATTGAAACGCTAAAACCTCAAGCAGTAGTGCCACTCCCAGAAGCTGGAGTCTACATTATTGAAATCCGAGCATACAGTGAAGGAGGGGATGGAACAGCCAGCTCCCAAATCAGGGTTCCATCATACTCAGGTAAGTCTTAACGGAATAGGCTGAATTTGACAGCCACCTATGAAAGGTTATGTAAAGCTCATGAACACTGGACGATGGATTGTACAGTCCTCTGATTTTTGAGGCATGAATAGAGAAAAATATAAGAGGAAAACTCTGTCTTTTCAGTAATCCAGACTAAAAGACCTAAGAATTTTTCTCACTGGTTAGTTTTTCAGTTTTTATTTTTATTAGTACACATTTACAGTATACAGGACTACCATCAGTCCCACAAAATCTTTTTTTTTTAAATAGCCTTTCTTTTTTTATTTTTTTTAACATTTATTTATTGCGTGTGTGTGTGTGTGTGTGTGTGTGTGTGTGCGCGCGCGCGTGTGTGGCCAGCTCAGCCCACCAGGGGGCACGGCTGGCTGGCATGTGGTGCTGGGGGATTGAACCGTGGTCCCTGTGCTTTGCCAAGCTTGTTCCAAGTAGGTGCTTTAGACCACTGAGCCATCTCTCCAGCCCCACAAAATCTTAATATGCTCTGCGCTTCCTTTTTAACAGAATAGTTTCAAGAGAAAGAATAGTAATAATGTGTTTCTACATTGATTAATTCACAACTAAACTTTTCATATGAGGCTGCTGAATTTTCAAGAGCAACTTCGAAGACCGAAGATTTTTTTCTGAAAACTGAAAAACTCCGCTTTCCTCTTTCCTCAGAAGTGTCAAATTTCTAGTAACAATGGAAGGAGCATTTACTGAGCCCCCATCATGCTCCTGGACTGACACTATGTGTGTTCCGTATATTATTTTATCCTTCTAGCAATCTTTGAATTAGGTGGGAATTTCATTCTCTGACCCTACAAGGTCCCTTTTCAACACTAATGCAATCAGATTTTATAACATTATATAAATAAGGCCAGTTCCAAACTTGCTAGTACTTACACAGTTCTGAAATCTCTCACTAATATTTTTAATTGACTTGTAAGTTCCATGAAAAAAATTGACAAGTTTCATGTTTTAGTTAACAACATTTTTACCAGAGTAACCCCTTTCCTGAGTTTCAATGAAGTAAAATCTTATAGTATTACCTACTTTAGACCCATAAAAATCTGAGAATGATTAGCTTCATTCTTACCATATTTTAAAAATAAATGCCAAAGAAATAGAATGACTTGCCCAAGTGAAATAGGTAAGTAGTTTTACAGCTGGAGCAGAAATTAATCCAATATTGTTATTTTGTTTGATTTATTGTGGGTGGTTGGTTGGTTTTGTTTATTTGCTATTCTTTCATGTTTTAGCACTGTGGATTTTATATAGAACAGTAGCTACAGACTTTATTAGCATTCTGGAAGAGAGATTTCTTCTATATGAATGTTGATTTAGAAATAACACAGCCACTTTAAAATACAGTACACACAAAGAATAGTTTTATATTTTTTTTATTTATTTAGCATGAATAGACACTCCAGCAAGAACTTGTCATCATGTTGTTTTTATAGTTCATATGTGGCCATGCACTTTATGTTAGACTTATTTTGTATAAGATGAAATACACTTAACACTCTCCAATATGTTGAGTAATAAGATTTATTATTTCACCAGTTATACAAATTCTTAAAGAAAGGAACATTTGCCACTTGGGCACATGTGTTGTCTAAAAAAAAAAAAAAAAATAGCTCTTTAGCTTTTACACACACATCTAGAGAATAAATTTAGACTCTAACTTTGTAAAACATAAATCAACTTCAGGATCCTATTACACTAAATCTAACCAGGAAGCATAACTTGGCAGAAGATGCCAGAAAGTGAACAGTAAAGTTTATCTGTATTCTTAAGTTTAGAACCAAAGCCAATCACTGTTTCCAGAGGTAAAGCATGAGCCTCAGGATCTGCTATTCTATAGCTTCAAGTACTTCAAGCAAATTCTAAAATCTTTTTAAGTAGCAGTTTTTCATGTGTAATAAAAGGATAAGAATATTATTTAACATATAGGTATGTCTGAGAGTCAGATAATATGTTTAAAAGGCTTAAGATATTGTTTGGCACATAGCAAGTATTCATTGCATGCTGATTAAGATACTACTTCAGAAAACTTTGGGCCTTAAGAGCCACTTCTGAAGTTAGTATCGAAGAATTGTTCATCATTTGTGACCAAGAAGAGCTCTCAAAAGATCGGCTCAGATTTGCTGCTTTAGGCAAATTAAGCGCATATGTTTGGGTCTCAAGAAATAACTTCTAGGGGCCAGAGAGATGGCTCAGTGGAATAAGCACTTGCCTGGCAAGCGCAGGGGCCTGAGTTCAAACCCCAGTTCAAAAAAAAAAAAAAAAAAAAAAACCTTCTCCAATGTTTAAGAATAAATGGTGAAAGACCACGCTTCTTCACTGCAGTGAGAATCTGCAATTTAAGCCTCCTCAACTATAATAATCAAAGACCCCTAAATAAAGAAAATACTCGTTGCTAAATGTGTAAGTTAGCTAACGTAAGTACACTGTGAATTCATGTTGCATCACACTTAACCATTAAGTGTTTTACTTGATCTTCTAAAGTATGCACTACAAAAATTATTGCATTTCTTCAGACCTGGAAGTTGGGATAGTTTCTGTCAGTGCACCATTATAAAAACTACACTGAATCTCTTGGCTAGGTGCGTTTGTTGACATGAATTGCGGCTTTCAGCACAGTATTTCATTTCTGCTCTGTCCTGCTTGTAACTTGGGGAATCTCAGACAACATTTTGCTTCCCAAGTGTGAGAAACACTCCAGTAAAGCAGGACAGACGCCACGCCGTTCCCCTAGTCACTAGGAACACGTCCTTTCCTGAACGGCTGTCTCACGGGTGCCTCTGGCCTCCCGCAGGCGGGAAGATCACGAGCGCTCAGCCGGCCCTGCGCTCCCTCTCCTCGTCGTCGTCCGTGCTGCTGCTCCTGGCCCTGCTGACCCCTTCAGCCTCCTGGTGAAGCTGCTCGCTTGCTCTGCTCTGCTTTGCTTTAGCTTAAAAACAGCAGTGAATCGAATGTAGTGTGCGTGGAGGCCAGGACCCAGGACGAGCTGGAGGACTCTGGGGCCACACAGGGCGCGCGCAGGCGGCGGCTGGGGCGGCGCTCCTTGGCCATCAGGTTTCTCTTTGTTTTTGTAAATGGAGAGGACAGGTCTTGGCCCACTGGAAATATGCAGATGGTATGTAATGAATTTTTGTAAGCAAAGATGATTTCTGTCAAATGTATTCTTAATTTTATATAGGTGAATTTGATTTTATATCTGATGACTGAGAGTGTGCCATCTATTTATTAAGGAAGTGGTCTCGACCAGATCTATTTCAAAAACAGATACAATATTGAGGATGGAAAGTTTTCTTAAACCTCTGAATCCAGCGTTTTTCTTTTTCCCTTCACCTGACTATGACAATTGCCAAACCTGCAGGAGATACGGAAAATACTTTGGCTATGAGATCCATTATAGGATACATACCAAAAAATTCTCAAAAGTTATTATGCAGTTACATAGTAAAATAGCAAGATTTGTCAATAAGTTATTCTATATTCACCTCTAGAGCAAATTATTAGGGTAGAGAATAAACCATTTTTATTAGCTAAATAGTGAATCCAAATGAACAGTTTGCATTCCACACCATGTTCTATAGCAGCAAATACGGTAAATGCTTATTTTTAATATCAAGGTAGCTTAAAGTCACAAGATTATATAATCACTAGAGACTGCAATGACACTTTGCCACAGCTGCTGATTTAAAAATGCAATGAATAAGGAACAGAGATTTTCCAATTCTCTACCTACTCACCTAATATCAAAGAGATGAATCAAGTCCAAGGCGATCTTAATTGAAAATAATTTTAAGCACAGTAAAATTGTGTTATACAAATAACTATATACACACATATATATAGTCCATAGAGTCAAATGATTCAAAGAAAGCAAATAAACTTTGATTTTAGACAATTTCATATACCATATACCACATATAAATTCTTGTCAACTACTAAAATAAAAAGGATTTGTTGGATAAGTTGATTTTAAAACTTAATCTTTGGAAATATGGCACCAATACCATAAGGGCTTAGCCAGGATGGCCCACCGTGCTCGGCTTACTTTCATTCTGTGGCTTAGGAGGTGATCCCTAGTTGCTCCTCTGAAGCCTCAGCTTGAATCTAAATGACTCTAAGTAGTCAGTGGGAAGCCGAATGAAATGTTCCCACCTGATGACATCCCACAGAAGTTCTAGGAAATCTAAGGGTGTCCGAAAGTAGACATCACATCCACGGAGATGAATGAAAACTTTGTCAAACCAACTTCATGTACCAGAAAAGAGCCTGATGAAGCTAGTTTCATAGGTGAAGCAAACATGGTGCCAAAGCACGTTTCTCACCTTTTGTTTTTTCCTTTATATAATCCACACCCAGTCACTCAATTTGCATCCATAATGACAGACAAACTGAAACAAAATGGAGTTCAAATCGCTGACTCTAGAACTTAATCTTGGTAGAATCAGAGGACAAATGGAAGATCTTATTTTGAACACTCAACAGTTTAGCTACAGTGTAACTACATAAAAGAATGACTTATTTGGCTTGGAGAAAATTATAACCAAGACAATCCAAAGCAACAATAAGTGATTCGTAAGATTAAGTGATTCAATAGATTATTATAATCTATGCTACAGATGGCGACTATTTAAGCCTTGAATAATAACAACCAAGTGGCCTTTCTTGAATGTCTCCTTCATTGAAGAAGAGGCTGGGCCTTGCCATTACAGGGGTGTTGTTTAGTGAACATAGTATGAGCCTCCCAAGAAGGATTCAACAGCTCATAAAAACAGACTGTCCATCCAAAAAGTGCGGGAAGATATTCAAAACTGGAGGCGATGTTTTCTATTTAATGAATTAAGCCATCTCTTCATGTTTCATGATGTCCTAAGTGAAATTTCAGGAAAGACTTTAAGAATAAAGTCATTACTAATACTGTTATAAAAAAAAGCCCAGTTAAATATAGTGATGTCAATACATGAAAAATCCAAATTAAACAATATTTCTAAACAGCTGATGGATGGTACACATCAGATGGAATATTTATGTATACAATGTCTGATGTTTTATTCTTAACAGGAATCAGAGCTATGGGATATTTCTACTCAACATGCACAAAATACGTATTTTACATCATAAATCTATTTAAAGACAGCTTACAATGTTCATGTACTTATGTATTACATATTTGTTACTTTGTAGGCGCAAATAGCATTCCTTATCCCAGTCCATTATTTTTCAGCTATGATACTACGTGATTTTTTTTCTTGGTTGGGGCAGTAACCACACAGTCTTAAATCACTAAAGGGACTGTACTTTTTTAAATAATATCAATTGAACTATGAAGAAAATTACACTCCTTATAAACAAATTTCTTGAAAGCAAATGTTTTGTATATCCAGCTGAAGGTACTGTGGATTCTATGTCAAACTGTTAAATATATTGTATACAATCTGTATATATATATACTATATATAATGGTCCACAACCTGTGGAAGGCGCAGTCAGATAATAGTTCTGTGTACTGTTCTTGTAACATTAGATCTTTTTAATAAATAATTCTGTTTTTATTGACTTTTATCTTTTCTCCTGTCAAGTCCATTTGTGACTTAATTTCAAGAAGAGAATGCTCATGATTACGGTAATGTTTTCAAAAATATCTTTTTATTAGGACCTGAAAGATCGTAATGATTTTGGGTTCAAAACATCTCCATAAACATCCACTTGTAGCTGTAACTGGAAAATCAGAAGCTATGCAAAAGAAGAGTACAGATGTGATAAATTCAGATTTAATACAATTAAGACACGCCATAGTGTGGGCATCACACCGCCAACACTGGAGTTCCTGCACAACTGTCTCCTTGGGCAGCCCGAGATGGTCCTGTTGCGTGACCCCAACTCTTGATTTTGTTTTTTTCAGAAAACTTAACTTTGTTTAATCAGTTTGCAGAAAATCTATTAAATACACCCCTTATTTTAGTTAGGACCAGTTAAAACCAATCTATCCCAGATATAGTTCTTGTAGAGTTATTCATTCTTTTGTACCCTTTACAACCAGTGATATTATAATTACTTGGTTAGAACTGTTTTTCTCCACTGTCCAGACTCTGGGATCATACAGGGGATACTAGGTTATTTTTATTGTTGGATTCATCTCACCAGCTCCTAGTATAGTAATTAGCACATATCAAGTGAATAATAAATTGGATTTAATTTAGTGCTAACATTTCCTGTACAATAGTCTTCTCAAACCTAAGTGATCATTTAAAAATTAGCCAAAAATCAACTTGTCCAAATTCTGATTCAGGAAGTCAGATACTAGGGAACCTTTACTTTAAAAATCTTTACAGGGGTCGAGGACAGAGCTCAGTGGCATGAACCCTGTCTGGCAAGTGTGAGGTCCTGAGTTAGGTTCCTGGTTCCCTTCTCCCCACAAATAGAGAAAACAGTGAAAATCTTCTTGAACAAAATCTGATAAAACTCTACTAAAGAAAATTTGGAAATAGCTAGTATAACTTTGGTATGAATTTACTCATTGTCCTAACCATTCTATACCCAAGGCTCTATCCCTAAGATAGACTAGCAATAATGTAAGGTATTAAATGGATAGACAAGCTGCAAAAGAGTGGATATATGCCTTTTGTGTAAGAAGGAGAACACACACGTATTTGGTAATATTTTCAAGAAGAAATAATGGAAAAACCAACTAAAATTTAGTAAAAATGATTACTTCCTGAAGAGAGGAAAGAATGTGAGAATAAATACACCAGCCAGCTATTTCTCCACATCTTTGCTTCATAGACTTTGCTTTGGACCCATATCAAGGATTTATTATTAATTTAATAAATCAAATAATCAAAAGCAACAAAATTAAGCCATCTCTAGAAACTGAGAATGATAGAAAAATGAACCCAAACACATATCAACCCAGTGGCTTGTGAATTCTGGTTTTTCTTTAGAGAAAATGATGAGAAGAGAGAGAAGCATTTCAAGTAAGTATTGTGACCATAAATCACAACTGAGACGTTGGGTCCAGCGATAACTCAGATGGAAAGGCACAAGAAGTCTTCCTGTAAGTAGAGCAATTAGAAATGTATTTTAACTAGCCAAATATAAAAACGTAAGTGTTGAAATATTGAGTATATTTTAAGAGATAAGAGATGCATGTATTTTAAGTAAACCTCTAACCTTTGATTAGAAATGTCAGTTTCAATTTATAACTTATTTAACCTCTTTCTTTAAAATAACTTAGTTTTGTTCACTAAAAAGATCTAGAAGAATAAGGAATATTTCTAATGCAAAAATAATGCAAGCCATGTATAAATAATGCACCCACTATGGTCTCCAACTCCCTGTCCATGAGAAAAAATCGACTTTCTTGGCGAGACAATAAGGCTGTCGGTAGGCAGCACATGAGACGACTCCGGGACTACTTCTTCTATTTAGGAACATTATTGTGGGCATGACAGGAGGACGAGCTGAGGATGACCCTCTCACCAAGCAGACAACCTCACCTCAAAAATAATAACAACAACCATGGATTAAAATATGTGGCTTATCTAAAGCTCAAATATTCATATTGTTACCTTTACACAGTTTACTGCTTTTCTTTATTGCCCCCAGTAGTCACCCTGCTGAGAATTGTCACAGAATAGAAAATAATTAAGAATTTATCCTACCTTGTCTATAAGAACTATGTTGCAGGATAACCAAATAGTCAATCAAAGATACTACTACTTTCTATGTTATAGAAAATCACAATAATATGTATAAATTAAATTTTTCCTCAAACTAAGCTACTTGGTAAAAGGCTGATGAAGAGCCTTTGAAGATGTCTCAGGCTGTCATCATCTGAACCCATTGATTTTAACATCACCAAAAAAGGAGCGCACAGAAAATGATACAACCTGATATGATAAGAGGATACACACTCAGAAGCACCTCTTTAATATGCTTCCAAAAGTTATCATGATCCTGATCAAAATCCTCTCACTGCTGTATTGCAAGACATGCTGGAGGAAAAACAAAACAAAAGAGAGCATTGGGTAGTGCCTGGAGGTGAGGAGCAGGTGGATTCTCCACGTGGCATATTCTACTGGACAAAAACCCATTTTCTTTCACAAGTGAATGGCACACAGATAAGAATGGGGCAATTGTTACTCATTATGATGAACTGAAGAACAATACCTGCAGAATATAATGTGTGGAAGCTCCTGGGGGTCTGATGCAAATGGACCAACTGCATAAAGACACCATTTAAGACAATGGGGCAGTTTTCAATGCAGGCTGCAGATGAAACGGAGTAGCAGGCTAGGCATGGTGGGGCACTCCTGTAATCCCAGCCCCCAGGAGGCTGAGGCAGGTGGTTTGTTACAAGTTCAAGAGCTCTATAGTGAGTTCAAGACCAGCCTGAACTGCATGGCAC